AGCAACAGCAGTAGCATGCACACATGCTTTGTGCACGTGCCTATATTTGGCCAAGTACAAAATAATCATGCACCGATGGCACATGCAGATTTTCGTTCTTGGGACCAACGACATGGCAGGCAGGCCATTGCCAAAGGATCTGGGTGTATGCTGCATATACCACCTGCTATACTCATCGTGCATGCACAAAGACGACGACCAGCGACGAAATCGCCATGCAGGGCTTAATGCTCGCAGGCAGTGAAAGGAGCAGCTTGATTTGCATGCAAAGGTGGGTGTCGTTTGTGACAGCAGCCTTTTCTTGAGCTTTTGTAGCAACTCACACCTTTCGGAGCCGGCACAGCATGTCGACTGCCACACAGACGGACCAAGTGGTGGCGGATCTGCAGGCAATCGCAGGCTTCTTGGCGACGATGAAGGATGCTGGCAATTACGACTCTGTCCGTGAAGGGCAGGTCCTGGCCCTCATCCAGCGGGTTCAAAGCATGAGGCTGAAGCCACAGGATGGCACAGCCTTGGTGAATGCTTGGCAGCAAGGCCCTTGGACACAGGCACAGAGCCAGAGGTTCTCCGAAGCAGTTGCTGCCGTCGTTTCGAACCAGAGCAATGCTGCAACAGACAAGCGAGGCATGCAACACCTCAGCAGTTTCGAACACTTCTTGTCAGTGAAGGACATTGAGATTTTGGGTGGTCAATGCAACAACACAATGAAGCTGGAATGCCTCGCAAGCAGGTGCTGCAGACTTCGTTTGGTGTGCCCAAGCGAGCCTTCAGTCCGAGCCATTCTCGCAGCAGGAATGGCACACGGGGCCAATTTGGGATCGCCTTCTGAATCCTATGCACATAGTGTAACTTTCAAAAATATTGAAGCAGAAGGCCAAGCAAGTGGGCAGAAATGGAATCCATTTGCTCCACTACCCCGGCTCCGTGGAGGAACTTCCTGCTGAGCTTCGCACTGCAGCATACGATGCAAACGACTCTGCATGCTCACCCCAAAGCCTTTCTCCTGCCGATGTGCACAAGGCTTCTGGGCAGCTCGTCATCCGAGGCTCTGACAAGAGGGTCAAGAACTCTGGCACGGGAGGCTTCATGCAGACCATGCCCACGCAGCAGCCCTGGTCAAATCCCATGGGCATGGGATCGATGCCAGACCCTTCTTCGGGCATGACAATGATGGGCTGGCTTCGAGGCATGCAATGCATGCAGCAGATGATGCAAACATCCAATCCCGATCAGCTTTTGTCGAACCTACAGATTTTCAGGCCCGGACAATCGCAGCAGGCATCACAGGCAACTGCCAATGTTCAGCAGCAAGCTCTTGTCACATCGTCCTCCAGTACCAGTGGTCAAAATGCAGCTTGCACTGCTGGTGTGCAGCAGCCATCACAGGTTGCCCTGCAGTCGCCGAGTCGTGAGACCGCAACCGTCCCTCAGGATCCTCAAAATTCGCCACCTGCTGGTGGGGTCGCACCTGGCAAGACGGTTCAGACGGAGCTGGACGATGACGGGATCCTTGCCGCTGCCGCCCTTGTGTCAGATGCCTTGGACGAGAAGAAGGGTGAGAGGAGTCGTGCCTCCGAATCTTTCAAGAATGGCAGCGCAAAGGGCAAGGGGAAAGGCGCCAAGAAAACGAAGGGCAAGGGCAAGGGCAAGAAGGGCACGAATGGCGACAAGACCGTCGGCAAGAAGGGCAACGGCAAGGGGGGCAAGGGCAACAGCACCAAGGTGATGAAGAAGCCCGCCATGGCAAAGGCAAAGGCCATGGCGAACCCAGCGACCGGCACACGGGAGTACTATGCCAACTTGCCGATGAAGAAGAGATTGGCCCTGCGACCACATGGTTGCTCGAAATGTCGCTGGAGCCCTGGCTGCCGGCCGTGTTGCTATGTAAAGTAGTATGCTAATGCAGGAGCAATGCCACTGCTGTGCCGAATGTTCACAGCCATGCTCACGAGTTGTATGTAGGCCATGCATGCTCCATGAACGGGGTCTGGATGCATTTATGTTCTGCACTATATGCAATTAAAGAACCCACGGAACACGTGTTTCTGCTGCGAGAAAAAGAAGGTGCATCGTTATCTGCGACACACACCTCAGATGATCCGACATGTTGCCAGCTCTTTTGTGCCAGTGCCGTTTTGCACATCAGTCTGCAGTGGCTTCACTTGTGTGGTTATGTCGACCTCGAGGCTGTGTGTTCCATGCCATGATGCACTGCTAACTTATTCTATAGAATCGTTTCTGTATATAGCCGTACACTTTCAGATCTGTATGTAGGACTGATTGCGAGTATCTCGAATATGATTCTTATTTCGCTTGCAGGGCTTTCTTAAGCTCGCGAGCAGGATCTATAAAGATGGCTTTGGCTGCATTGGGCCGAAAGCACTATGTCTCCCAGAGTGCTCTGGAGGCACTGTTGAAGGAACTGAAGGAAACCCCTCTTCCGGATGCTGGGTCCAGAAGAACTATCAAGCGGGCCAGGGATGAGCACATCGACATGCAAACTCCTCACGGTTCGTTGATCACACATATCGCCGTGAAGTTGCAAAAGGACGAGTCTCAGGTGAATCTGCCAGTGTTGAATCTGCCTGCTTTTTTGTGGCATTTTTGCAACGACCTTCCCCAGTTCGCAACCTTCTTCCAGAAGAGGATGCACGTGCACCCGAATGGGCCAGATCGTGCATGGACCATGACACTCTATTCGGACGAGATAAGTCCTGGCAACCAACTCAAAGTTTCCAATAGCAGGAAAATACACGGGTTCTATGTGACCTTTGACCAGTTTGGCGCCGAAGCAAGGTCCCGGGAAAGCTTCTGGTTTTGCTTGTCCCTGGCAAGGAGTTCTGTGGTGAACCAGCTGCTAGGAGGACTTTCAGGCCTCACCCACGAACTGATCAGTTCAGGCCCTGTGAAAGCTCTGAGCACTGGCTGCATGTTGACGATGCCCGATGGGCAGAGATGCATGTTTTTCGCAAAGTTGGGAACTATGCTGGGCGACGAATCAGCTCTGAAGTTTGTTTTTGATGTGAAAGGAGCATCGGGGACCCTGCCGTGTCCCCTGTGCTCCAACATCATCAGCAGAATCAGTGCTGCTGATGATTACGATGCGACTGGCACTTTAAGGAGCATATCCTGCACGGATCCGAACGATTTCGTCCTCCGGACAGATGCTGAAATCTTTCGGGCACACGAGCTACTGGAAAGGCGGCAGGCGACGTTGTCGAAGAAGGATTATACTCGATTGGAACAATCCTTGGGTCTCAACTGCAACCCCAATGGAGTCCTGCATTATCGGTCCATGCCACTCGTGCAGTCGTTAATGTTTGACTGGATGCACGTGTTTCTCGTGACGGGCCTGTGGCAAACAGAAATGGGCTTATTGCTGCCCCTGTTGTACAGTGCCGGTCATTCGGCGGAGACTTTGTTGGCTTACATGATGCAGATCCAATGGCCCCAGAACCTTCGTGGTAGAATCAATGAGACATTGCAGCTTTTCAAAAAGAAAACCTCGCCGAACGAGTTCAAGTCGTCAGCCTCGCAAGGGCTCAATGCCTATCCTTTGGTGCGGATGTTTCTGCTGAGCTTGGATGTGTCTAGCATGAACGATGCACTCAAGTTGGCCGTCAAGTCTTTCTTCAAGTTGTGCATTGTCTTGGACATTCTTTTGTCCATCAATCGTGGCGAAAGTGATGCCAGTCGTGGTTTGGAAGGAGCCATACAGCAGCATTGCCAAGCCTTCAAAACAGCACACGGCGAAGACCACATCACTCCGAAGTTCCACTATGCCCAACACTTGGGCAGCATGGCTGCAACCAAGGACCTCGTGTCGTGCTTTACGCACGAGAGGAAACACAAAGAGGTAAAAAACTTTGCAGACCACATCAAAAACCCTACCAAGGGTTTCGAGGATGCCATCATGAAGGATGTGCTCGGCCGGTTCCTCTTAGCAATGGAAGGCAGCACCGGACTTGTGCAGCCGCATTTGATCTCCCCCAAGCCTGCGAGCCCTCTTCTCATGGCGAGTTTGGTGAGTGCTTTCGGGGCCGAGTCCGTGGGCCAAGCTCAGGGGGCTTTTGCAGCTCAGGTTTCACCTGGCTGCATTGTGCACAAAGCTGACTTTGTTAAGCTGAAGTCCGGTGATGTAGCCGAAGTGTGGTTGCATGCACGACTCGGCTCCGGCGACCTTGTCACTTTGCTGCAGCCGTTTGCTGGGCTTGGTCGAAACATGTACCAGCAGAATGCGGAGGGGGCTCGTTTCGTGGCCTCATCGGGCATTCAGTCTGCATGCCTGTATGTGCCCGAAGGCCCTGGCAGAGTCAGGGTTGTGCCTTGATGGAGTGCATGCACCTAGAAAAAACATGATTTTGCACCTGCCTGCGAGCAATTTTGCCCTGCACGACGGTGTTTATGTACACATTCATTCTATGGAAATGTTGTTATCTACATCTTCTATGTGCACTTAGCTAAGTCCGATAACTCAGTTACGATATGTGGACTTATAAGACATGCTATGTTGTAGTTACCTATATGCTGTAACTTCTGTATCTACTTAATAAAGTATGTAAGTGCATACTAACCCACACGCCCTGCCAAGTGGGATTGGAGAATTTTAGCAGCTCAGCATTCTAGGATTTTAGAACTTAGCGTGCCAGGATTTTAGTGGATGGCATTTTAGCAGCTTAGCGTTTTAGGATTGTAGCGGCTCAGCGCTTGAGGATTTTAGCGAATTAGCGTTTCAGGATTTTAGCGGCTTAGCATTTTAGGATTTTAGCGATTTAGTGTTTTGGCGGCTTAGCGTTTTAGGATTTTAGCGGCTTAGCGTTTTAGGATATTAGCGGCTTATAGCGCTTTAAGATTTTAGCGAATTAGTGTTTTAGGATTTTAGCGGCTGAGCGTTTTAGGATTTTAGCGATTTAGCGTTTTAGGATTTTAGGGAATGCGTTTTAGGTTTTTAGCGATATAGCGTTTTAGCGGCTTAGCGTTTTAGTGTTTTAGCGGCTTAGCGTTTTAGGATTTTAGCGAATTAGCGTTGAAGGATTTTAGCGATTTAGCGTTTTAGCGGCTTAGCGTTTTAGTCTTTTAGCGGCTTAGCGTTTTAGGTTTTTAGCGGCTTATAGCATTTGAGGATATTAGCGGCTTAGCATTTTAGGAGTTTAGCGGTTTAGCGTTTTAGGATTTTAGCGGCTTAGCATTTTAGGATTTTAGCGATTTAGCGTTTCAGGATTTTAGCGGCTTAGCGTTTTGGGAAATTGGGGATTAGCGTTTTAGGTGCCACAAACGACTTGGGTATGAAGTTTTAGGGTCTGAGCATTATAGGGAGTCGTCAGTGGGTGATTGCCGAGGATGAGAGGCTGCAGAGGCTTCACCCTCTGCAGTGATGTGCCTAAGCGGCTCTCTGATCGATCGCGGGCCGCTTCACGACTAGGTCGCGCTCGCGGCCATGACTTTAGGGTTTAGGGTTTAGGGTTCTGGGGTTTTAGGGGTTTAGGGTTTAGGGGTTTAGGGTTTAGGGTTTAGGGTTCCTTGAAATGGGTGGTTGTCAAAATTCGGGTCCCGCTTTGGGTCCTTATTGTCGTACGGCACCTAATATTTAGGGTACCCAAAAAGGGACCGTTATTTTGACAGCCACCCAAATGGGTTCCATACTGGTAACCATAAGGGTTCAGTATCACCTTGGCCTCTGCGAGCAAACATTCAAAACCCAATGTAGGGGCCTGACTTGCTCGAATAGGGTTTGAAGGTTATGGCACATGACAAGATGTGACAAGCAGCCCTGAAAAATGATGTTGGTAGCAATTATTTACGCCACCATATTACAGAAACAAATGCACAGCTTGTCTCTGCACAGGGGGCCTTCACCAGCTTCTCCACCTGCCTTGCGAAGGCCTCGTCCAGGCTGCAAGCGCCCGAGCAGTCGATGCACTGCCACCGGAGCCGCGACCTCATCGCAAAGGCTTCTGGGCTCCAGTTCGTCATGGACTTGGCCCAAGAGGGCAGGCGGGCGAGAAGCCGCTTCTGCAGCGCAGGGCTTGTCTGCTCACAGGTGCCCATGAGGTCCACGACCAGCACTTCCGGAGACCAGAACCCGAGGCCCCAGGCGGCGAGCCCCAGTGTCGGGATTTCATGCGTGGACAGCACGGACTCTGACAAGTTACGCTCGCCCGTGATCTGCTTGTTGACCAGTGCGATGACCGTTCCCTGTGCCCTTTCGCGCATCCCGAGCACGAAGCTCATGCTTGCGATGGACCACATGTTCCCTGCAAGCACACTGGTCTGAGCATCTTCGTAGCAGGCATCCAGGACCTGGCTCGCCTCGATGGCTTGGCCCAAGAAGCTGTCCGGATGGACGGTTGCGTGCTCTGTTGCTTTGGCAAAGTTGGAGAGCGTCGTCATGGTCGTGCGTTTCTTGGGGTCCCCGTCCCAGAAGCCGGCCCAAAGTAGCGCATGATGACGAGTCTCGGTCAAGTTCACCAGCCAGCTCCTCAGAAAGGAGAGCGCCTGGTATCGAAGGAGGGCTTTGCTGTCCACATGGAGAGAGGCTACAGCATCTCTGGAAACGCGGAGCGTCTCCACGAGATCGCTCCCCAATGCGAAGATGTCACTGACGCTGTCCGCACAGGTCTTGTTAGGGAGAATGTAGGAGTCCGGAAGGTAGTCGAGAAGCCAGTCGGCTTTCGTCGGCAAGTTCTCACAAGCAAGGGTGAGATTGTTCATCAAGCGCCCCAGCTGCTGATGGCAAACGCTTGCGCTGGTGCCCCGCCAGCCCTCCCTGATGCGGGCAATCCGCTCTCTAAGCGTCCGCTCCTGTGCCTCGGCATCGCCGGGCTCTTCCCTGCTGCTCTCCACTTCGGCTGCGGCCGCCGCCAAGCTGCTCGTCAGCAGCTCCTGAATCTGCTCGGCCGAGCTCGTTGGGTGCTCTTGCCACAACACCGGATGGTGCTCCGATCTGAGCCCCACTGCGACACGGAGTGCTGCTGCAAAGGCCGCAAGTGCTGGCAAGGTGAAGCGCACCATCACGCCATAATCCTATGGAAGAGTATATGGAAGTATATGGAACTTTGGATACACCAAGCGCAGAGTTGCTTGAGAGCAATGCCAGCGGCTCTGTGGGACATGCAGCTGCTCGAGCGTCCGAAGATAGTCAGTAGACCGTAGACCACGTTAAACCCTAGAACCCTAAACCCGTAAACCTTTCAAAGCCCTAAACCCTACAACCCTAAACCCTGAAACCCTAAACCTCTAAAGCCGTAAACCTTTAAACTAAACCTCTATAACCCCTAAACCCTACAACCCTAAAACCCTAAACCTGTGAAACCCTAAAGCCTACAACCCTAAAACCCTAAACCTCTGAAACCCTACCCTAAACCCCTAAAACCTTAAACCCTAAACCTCTAAAACCCTACCCTAAAACCCTAAACCTCTGAAACCCCACCCTAAACCCCTAACCCCTCGACATCCCTAAACATTGCTGGACATCCCAAACCCTAAACCTACACTGAACTAAGAACCCTAGCAAAAATTCGCCTCGGCCCAGGCCGAAGCGGTCAGAGGTTCCTATTCGGATTTCCTCTATTCCCCACCTCTTTGTCCCCTCCCCCGTGACCCAAAATCTGGCCACCCCCCCCCCCCCCCCCCCCCCCCTAAAAAATGGAAACGTGTCGATGAGCGCCAAGGTCCGGCGGTGAATTCTCGCCTTCTCCAATGGATTTTGGCTTTCTGTAGGCGGTCCCACCCCCCTTCCCCCTCCCCTCCCCCCCCCCTCCCGTCCCCCGTCCTTCCGCGCCCCAAACCGGCAGCGGTCGTTCCCGCAAAAGCCACGGTACAGGGTTCAGAAACTGAAACTTGCCACAAAACTTACAGGTTCGGACATTTGGCATTGAAGGCTTTAAGCACTACGGTGCAGGGCTCCACGAGTTAACCCTTTGGCGGATTGCGGGCATCGGAGATCAGCTAGGGGGTATGTCGAATATCAGGCATGAGAATTATTTGGCACATGCGTGTGCAGCCGGGCCGAGGCGGGCGACGCGCAACGTTTCAAACTATAATTCTAGCTGTTTCTTAGGGATTATAATAACCAAAAATGAACAATTATTTCTAAGTAACCCCTAAACCCCAAACCCTAACCCCCAGACCCTCAAACCTTAACTAAACCCTGGCCACGTCCCAGCCGGACCTGAAAAGGCGCCACCGCATTCGGCACATGGCCAAGCGGCCCCACCAAACCTCGGAAAGCAAAAAGGGCTTAGGGGTTTGGGGTTTAGGGTTTAGGAGTTTGGGGTTTGGGGTTTAGGGGTTTGGGGTTTAGGGTTTGAGGGCTTAACGGTTTAGGGTTTAGGGGTTTGGGGTTGGGGGGTTTGGGGTTTAGGTGTCCCTTAACTCGGAAACGAAAAGGCCAACTGCCTCACGAGAGCCACCTGCTGGTTTGCAGCAAGTTTGCGAACACTGGAATCCTCCGAGTATCAGCTCCATCGCTATCATCGCCATCAAGCTTGTCATCACAAGCATCGTCACCTGTCGCGGCAGCACCATCATTAGCATCACCGTGCTCGACACCATCCGCATACCATCATCAGCAGCAGGACCTCGCTGTGGTTGCCATCATTGCTTTAGTCGCAGCAGCAACCACAAAAAAACACACACAAAACAAAAAAAAACACGTCTCTGCTTAGTTGAGAGGCAGAGTAGAGGGTTTAGGGCCTAGGTCAAGGAGTCTTCAAGAAGCTTGTGAAACGTAAGGGGAGGGTTAGAAGCTGCCCCCACCCTGTAATAGTGACTTTAAGGATTATATTAGGGCCCTATTACATTCCTATTATCCCATTTATTACAGGGTGGGGGCCCCTTCTAAGGTGAGGGAGTCATCTTCGTCTTGGCGGCTCGCTTCTCGAGGGAGACTGGTTTTCCGCTTCAGGCGTTCAAAAAGGCCCGTCGCAGGCCACCTAAATATGTTGAAAAGCCGAGGGTTTAGTATAGGGGCCTTAATAGTTCGAATAGGGTTTTGGGGCCCATTATACTATAATTATAATAAGGAACCCCCAAAATAGTATAGGAAATTACTAAAGCCCCTATAGTTTGGGTACGGCCCCCACTCAGTAATATTTGAATCATATTCATAATCTAGATAATTTGGGACCTTAATAGTAGCCCTACTATATAGACTCTTACTGTATGGGGGCAGTACCTAACCTTTCGTAGGATTCCCCCAAAACGCCCAAAAGCCCCTAAACCCTAAACCCTAAACCCTAAACCCTAAACCCTAAACCCTAAACCCTAAACCCTTAAACCGCGAAACCTTCAGCCTTGGAGGTCTCAGAGCCGGTCGCGCTGCAACCCTTCAACCCAAACCCAGGTCCGCACAACTTCCTCTAAGGATCATCCTAGGGTTCCTTTAAAGGGATCTATAAGGGTACCTTTAAGGGGCTCCTTTAAGGGATCTATAGGGTTTTAGGGTTTAGGGTTGATGATAAAAATCCTGCATGACCCATAATAAGGAATATACCATAATTCCCATAGTCTAATGTCATTAAGGTAATGCAGGATTTATATCATCAACCGAAGTACTCCCTGTTATAGGACTTTGGGTCCATTTTGGGTTCCAATAGCTATACATCAGGACTACTTGAACCCCCAGGCTCTAGAGCAGAAAAAACACCAACGCACCCTATGTAAACCCAAAAGCAATCCTTACAGAATCCTCACAGAACTCTTGCAGAAAGCCCTTAGAGAACCCTTAAAAAGGAAAAACAGGCAACGTAATGAACATTACTGGGCTCGAATCACGAGGTCGGCACGTGGATCTGGAATGGATTCCGCTGCGCCGGGTCGGGAACCTCCCCTTTTGGAAGCTTCGGGTTGTCGGTTTAGGGTCTAGGCTTGGGGTTTAGGGTTTAGGGTTTAGGTTTAGGGTCTAGGGTTTAGTAGTGCTTCTCTATGGGGTCTAGTATGGCAGTTTTCAGAAATAGGGGACCGTAAAATAGTAGCCTGAGTAGTTATAAGGACCCCCATATGGGGTTTTCATAGGGTGCTTTGGGATCTATGCTTTAAACTATTCCACGCGGGTTTGGTAGGGTTTGATCGACAACTTCATGAGGTTGCAGCGGTTTCCTACAGGTTGGATGTACAAACACATGGAGCCAATATGATGTAATCTTAATCATGAATACCAGTAATACTGTTAATATTACTACTATTAGTACTAGTATACGAATTACTATTATCAATATTAAGCTTGAGCCTAGTAACTGTGCCAGGCCGTGGGTCTGAAGTTCTCTCGACCTCGGACTGCAGCGACAGACGGAGAGACGGAGAGGCCTCGCGGCATGCGCGTGAGCATGGGAGACAAAGTTCTTACCTTCGGGACCACTCTGACTGGCAACTGGCAAGCTCCATTCTCCAGAACGTGCACACCGCTTTTCTCCGAAGGCACACACGGATTAGCACCGGGTTATGCTACGGCTCCAGCCTTCCTCAAGACTTCGACCACCTTCAAGTGGCCAGAGACTGAAGCGACCATGAGGGCCTTGTTGCCATCATTATCACGAGCCTCCAGCTGGGCTCCGGCCTTCACCAAGATCTGAACCACCTTCAAGCGACCCAACATTGAAGCGGCAATGAGGGCCGTGTTGCCATCATTATTATGAGCCTCCAGCTGGGCTCCGGCCTTCACCAAGACTTGAACCACCTCCAGGTGGCCTGTCCTTGAAGCGAGGATGAGGGCCGTGTTGCCATCTTTATCGCGGGCCTCCAGCTGGGCTCCAGCCTTCACCAAGACCTCGACCACGTCCTGGTAGCCACTGTATGCAGCGAGCATGAGGGCCGTGTAGCCATCCTCATCGCGGCCCTCCAGCTGGGCTCCGGCCTTCACCAAGACCTGAACCACCTGCAAGTGGTCCATGATTGAAGCGACCATGAGGGCTGTCTCTCCTTGCTCATTCCGAGCCTCCAGCTGGGCGCCGGCGTCTACCAACGCCTCGACTACTTTCAGCCGGTTTTTATTTGCAGCGACAAGGAGGGCTGTGAAGCCAATCTGATCGCGGGCCTCCACCTGGGCCCCGGCCTTCAGCAAGGCTTCGACCACTTTCAAGTGGCCGTTGTGTGCAGCGACAAGGAGGGCTGTGTCGCCGTGCTCGTTGCGGGCCTCCAGCTGGGCCCGAGCCTTCACCAATGCCTCGACAAATTCTAGGTGGCCCTCTTCCGCAGCACTTAGGAGGGCTGTAGCGCCGATCCTGTTGCAGACCTCCAGCTGGGCTCCGGCATCCAGCAAGGGCTGAATCAGCTCCGGGTGTCCTGCGGCTGCAGCGCACAAGAGGGCTGTGCTGCCGTCCCGGTCTGGAGCGTTCGGATCGGCGTTCTGGCGGAGGAGTTGCTCCAGCCGCAGTTGCCTCTCCCGGCCTTCGATTTCCTGATTTACAAGCTCCGCCTCTGAGACTTGGCGTCGATCCATCGAATACAAAACTTCAACCACTTTGAAAACTTCCCAGGCCTTCTCGAAGTGCTGCTCTGTCCGCAGTGATTTCATCAGATGTTGAAGCATCGAAAGTTCTGTGCGGCGACTGGTCTCAGCGCGGTCCGCGAGGTGACAGCCGACCACCTGGCAGGGAATGGGTCCATCCTGTAGTTTAGGGCTGCAGGCTAATGTAAGTTGTTAGGGGTTGAGGTTTTAGGAAAGGGCATACTAACAGTGCGCCCCCCCTGGGATTCTGGCGCCCACCTCTCGTAGCTCCCGGTCCTTCCTGTCCCGCTCCACTTTGGCCTCCAGGAGAGAGAGCGGGTAGGGCCGGTAGGGGTTCGTTTTTAGGGGTTCCTTTAAATGGGTTCCAGACTGGTAACCAGAAGGATTCAGTATAGCGACGCACGTTCTAAGAACATCAAAACTTTCGAATATAGGGACCTGAATAGCTGGAATAGAGTTGGGGATGCCTGATGGTATGATGATCATAAAGAGGAGCGTCATGTTCTGGATGAATAATGTTGGCCACAATATTACATTACGAAACAACTGCACACCTCATCTATGAAAGAGAGGCCTTCACCACCTTCTCCACGTGCCTTGCGAAGGCATCGTCTAGGCTGCAAGCGCCCGAGCAGTCGATGCACTGCCACCGGAGCCGCGACCTCATCGCGAAGGCTTCTGGGCTCCAGTTCGTCATGGACTTGGCCCAGGAGGGAAGGCGGGCGAGGAGCCGCTTCTGCAGCGCAGGGCTTGTCTGGTCACAGGTGCCCATGAGGTCCACGACCAGCACTTCCGGAGATCAGAACCCGAGGCCCCAGGCGGCGAGCCCCACTGTTGGGATTTCATGTGTGGACAGCACGGACTCTGACAAGTTGCGCTCGCCCGTGATCTGCTTGTTGACCAATGCGATGACCGTTCCCTGTGCCCCTTCGCGCATCCCGAGCACGAAGCTCATGCTTGCGATGGCCCACATGTTCCGTGCAAGCGCACCGGTCTGGGGGTCCGTGTAGCAGGCGTCCAGGTTCTCGCTCGCCTCGATGGCTTGGCCCAA